GACCACGGTGGTGCACTGCCTCGCCAGGCTTGGCGGCCTTGCCGTAGGCATCAGACGTTATCACACTCGGACTCGGCAGGGAGCACTTGAAAGAGCACTACGAGCAGGGCTGCATCGAGCTGAACGCCTCGGATGACCGAGGCATCGACGTCGTGCGGGAAAAGATCAAGGTGCCTGAAGAAGTATATGGCAGACACAGTCGACATTGTGACGAAGATGTTCCTTTGCTTATGCACATGCTCGGCCCGACTGCCCGACGTGCCAGGGCTTCGCGCAGCAGAAGGTGTCCTTGCCAGAGGGCAAGCTGAAGGCCCCGGCTCTTTTCGAATCTTCGTGTTGTGGATCCCGAAAAGGCCGCGACCGTGTGCAGGTAATTATTCTGGACGAAGCAGACAGCATGACCCAAGCTGCTCAGCAGGCAGGGCTCTCAGTGGCGGCAGACCCCCAGCATGGGAAGTTCTAGCAAGGGACCCAGTTCCTGCTGAAGAGTTGCTCGAGACTTGTGGAGGCCATGCGTCGGACGATGGAGATCTTCAGTTGGAACCCCGGTGCACAATCACGAGTGAGAGAGGGAGAGAGAGTACTCTGCAGTTACCAGGCCTAAAGTCTAAAGGGTCCAGGCGCCCGGGGTGTTTTAGGCGAGACCACGCGCTTTGCCTTGGCGTGCAACATCTCTTCGAAGATCATCGAACCCATCCAGCCGGGGCCCCTGGAAGGTCTCGCAGAGGCCAGGATTCCAGGCTCATGACATCTCAAAGAGACTTTTGTGTTGAGGTCCCGCTGTGCGATCCTTCGTTTCAGCCGGATATCCGATGAGGATCTCGGAGAGAAGTCAGAGAACAGATTTGACTGACAAGCCCGACAGGAAATGCTTCAAAGACTGAAGTTTGTGTTGGAGAAGGAGGGCGCCCCGTGCCTTTTCGGAGATTTTGCAGGGAGCAAAGACATGTTTGGGTAGGTTTGGGAATGTTTGTTCCTTTGGCGCCTTGAGGATTCGCCCGGTGGGGGAAGCCGAGTAGTAGTGCATCATCGATTTACCCTGCCTTGCTCTGCACCAGTGACTTCTTCGACTGGATGCAGGCTGACGCCGAAGCTTACGGCATGTTGAGTTTGGTAGGCTTGGGTACATGCTCTTCATTCCCAAGTGTCGTCCGGCTGCCATTTGGATCAAGCCGTCCCGTCAGAGCCAAACTGGCAGGACCGAAGGTTTGAGTCAGCTGGAGTGTCCAGCTCGGCTGGGGGTGTGTCCCCCCACTCTCCGGGGTGTCCGGCATTGCTCTGGGAGTGACCCAGAGGTTATCGCCAGGGACTCGGCGAGTGGGTATTCTCGAGTGAGCCGGCTATGTCAGGACATAGCCCGGCGATTCGTCCCGCGCCGGGGGAAGATCCGGTGCAGCTGTTTAGAACCCGTTTCAGTCTCCAGGACGGTCGTGACTTCGCGGCTGCCTTTGTTTCTTGGGAGGAGGCTTCTCGCATGGCCGGTCCGGCCGTCGCCGATGCTTGGGCGGCAACCACTGCAGTTTCCGAGGGAGCCTCTGAGCTGTTTGCAGTTGAGCAGGCGGTTTTGGCGGGCCGTAGTGGTGAGACAGTCTATCCCAAACAAAGGTGCCAGCGTCCTGTCAAGCTTTTGCGGCGGGCGTGTCCCCGACGGCCTAAGGTTCGGTCGCCGGCTGTAGGCACAGATCCGGTCAGCGACCGTCTTGCACGCTACTTTGAGCGTGCTGGGGCACACAGGCCGGTGAGTTGCTCGGAGGCGCGCGAGCAGGAGTGGCGGACCTTCCTCGCTCAGGTAGCTGGTCGGAAGGTGTCGGCAGCCGAGCCGGCGACCATCAATCGTGTGCTTCGTACCATCGAGGAGCTGGAACGGTGGCAGTTCAGCCGTGGAAGGGCTGATGGCCTTTCGGACTGTGACGCTGTGGATCTTTCGGCATTCCTGGCAGATGGTACCACGGCGCCGGCTAGGGCCCTTTCAGCGCTGCGTTGGTTTGTCAAGCATGGTCGTTTGGGCTGGGATTTTTCTGAGTTGGTCCTGGCGAAGCGCCCAGGGAGTCAGGTGTCGGCGCGGGGCCAAGCCATCCCAGCGGAGCCCTTCATGCCGAGCTTGCTGGAGCAGAAGGTGGTCGCTTGTCATCAGCACGGGGATGTGAGGTGGGCGCCTCTCTTGGGTTCCTGGCTCGTGGCCTTTGGGTGTGTTCGCTACAAGCATGTTGAGCGGTCTATCGTGATACGCATCTCTCGTAGCACTGTCCATTTCTGGTGTGCCAAAGGCAAGCAGGCGCACAAACGCCAGGGATTTGCTTGGTGCGCACCTGCCTTCTTCAGTCAGGGGTGGCCATGGGCTCAGCATTGGCTGGCAGCCAGGCGGGCGTTACCCGCCAGGACGGCTGTCCCAGCTGGTGTGATATTCGATCGCCACGGGCATCGCTGGCGCCTCGGAGCGGTCACTCGAGCGGCGCAGGACCTTTTTAGGTCTGATATCGACTGGGCCGAGAAGCTTACTACTTACTCCTGGCGCAGGGTGGGTCCCTCGCTCGGTGTGTTATTGCAGTGGGACGAACCCACCTTATTTTCGCTAGGCGACTGGCAGGATCGGAAGGCTTCTCAGGCTATGCCAGTGCACTACGCGGCCACCCGCTATTCCAGGTCCCTTCGAACCAAGCATTGTGTGCTCGCTATTGTCCGGACGCTCTCCCAGGAGTTGACCTGGGAGGGCGTTGGTGTACGGATCCTGGAGTCCGCCCAGGCGGGAGCTGCCGAGAGTGTGGATCGAGCAGTGGCGGACGATCGGAGTACAGTTTGGTCGAATGCAGCAGCCGCAGCGGCCAGATTCACTGCCAAGTTCTGCAGGCGAGGCTCCCAGCAGCAGGGTCCCTCCTCTGCCCGGGGGTCCTCTTTGCCCTGTTCAGGGGCTTCGGGGCTGGGGGATTCGATGGCCTGGCCGAAGCGGATCGCTGGCTTTTTCGTGGCCGAGCGGCTCCGCGATGGTGCGCTCCTCTGCCGAGACTTCAACATGGGCAGGGAGTGCGATGAGAGCTGTGGCAGCTCTCACAGATGCGCGGTTGTGCTCCAGACAGGGCGGCTGTGCGGAGGGCGTCATGGGGCGCATGAGTGCAGGGCTCGGCGGAAGATGACGGTGGAGATGCCGGTCCCTTCGTCGGCCCCTGATGCTGTGGCTGCTGCTTCCTCAGTCCCTGATGCTGGCTCTTCTGGCGCTTCTGGGTCGCAGCCGATTGCCCTGGTGGAGCGACGCGACTCTTCAGCTGCTGGTTCTGAGTCACTGCCTGAATCCTCGAGACCCCGTAAGAGGCAGAGAATGGCTGACTCGGAGCCGGCGGGCCTGCATGCGATGTACAATGTCCTGGCTGAGCAGGCGCTTCGTGGTACGGCGCGGGAGCAGCTGGCGGTACCGACGCTCGTCCACGTTTCGTCTGCGGGGGGCAGACTCTTCCTGGGCCCAATGCCGCTGAAGTCCGAGCGCCGGCGTTATAAGGACATGGAGTTGGCGTTGCAGGTGGTCTGCTTCGAGAACTCTCTGGAGGATCGGGGGGGCTTGCGAGCGGCACATGTGGTCCGTCGGATGGATTTGTCGGCTGGGCGCCGTGATGGTGACTGGCGCCTTATCTGGCCCCTCGTTCCCATTACTTTGGCTGCGGGGGAGCACATCCTGGTTCACTGTAAGGCTGGTCGCCACCGAGCTGCTGCGGTATGCACTCTGCTTAAGGCGCTGCTCGAACGGAGTTCGCTGGATGATTCGATGGCCAGGATCCGGGAGCTCCGCCCTATCGAAGCTGACAGGTTGTTCAGGGAGTCCCCGGAGGTTCGAGAGTGGATGGATGGGCTGCTGCATACGCTTGCCCTTCCGGGGCCGATCCCGCAGCCTATGTCCTTTGCGGCCACATCGCGCTCGGTGCTGCATGTCTCTGATGGCCTGGGGGTCCCGCTTTGTCAGCATCGGCAATCTCGCGACAAGGCCATTCGGCTGAGAGAGCCGTGGACTACAGAGGACAAATTCGAAGCGGTGGGCTGGGGGCGACCCAGCTGTTCATCGTGCTTCCGGCTGGTGCCGGCTAGCTGGCTCGTGGATTAGCGCCGCGATGAAAAGTGTGGTCACTGAGTGAGGGCTTGTTTTTGCAGCGCTGGTTGTGCTTTGCTGTCGCCGCATGCCTGGAGTTGCCTGCAGTTCAGCCGTGCTCTCCCTGTTGATAGTTTGTGCCATTAGGCATCTCGAGTCGCTGGGGAGTGACCCCGGCGGGAAGCTTAGCATCTGGAGGAGTGCATCCTCAGTCCAGGTCGTTATGTCGCATTCACTGGTCCCAAGGGACGGGTCGAACTTTGCGGCTGCGCTCGACACCCTCGCCCTCAACTTCAGCTTGGACCCAGCTGTTGTCTCTAAGCTGAAAGAGGAGGGGCTCACGCACCTTGAGGAGCTCCGGTTCTTCTTTGACGGTGAGGACCACGTGGGACGGTGGGTAACCAAGCTGGGTCTTGGCGACCGCACCTTACTGCAGACGGCCCGTGTTCGACGGGCGCATGCCGCTGTTCGCACATACTTTACACAAGCCGATCAGGACCGCTCGAAGGTCCTCCTGGCGGATCTGGATTCGATGCTTGGGGACAGTGAGCTTCGCGATGCCAAAACATGCTTTTGGCAGCGATACCGCATGCGGTTCCCCTCCGAAGTCCACCCATCCGACGCGGTCTTGTCGCGGGTGTCGCGCGAACTCTCCAAACGCATGTTATGCGTGTATGATGTGTGGCGAGTGCGGTCCTTGCAGCATCAATTGACCACGGTGCGAAAGAAGCGGAAGCTCGGAGACAACCTGTACACCGATGAGGCCGACACGGAGGACGTGGGGCCCAAGGATTGTGATTCCTATCTTGACAGGTTGTACACTCTCTTGGTGGCATATGCACTGGCCGGATCGTCAGCATTGGCGGGTGTTGACCCGACCAAGGAAGCATCGTTGGGGGCTAATTCGGTTGAGTTCGTTGAGGTCCCGCTTGATGTTGTGTTGGCCTATTTCTTCCGTGCCAAGAAGTATGCTGCTTCGATACCGGTCGGCCGACGCCTGAGCTGGTTGCAGTCGAAGGACGCCGAGGAGCGTGGCGAGTGGGTGACCCGGTTCCGTGAGAGCACCAAGTCCTTGGGTTTGGTAATACAGGAGGTGATGCAGAGCCGCGATGCCCACTGGGCCATTTCGCCGGCACCTGCGAGTGGTGGGAGTGACCCGCCACAGCTTGTCCCTGTCAAGGAGGAGGCTCCAGCTAAGGTATCACGGTTCGAGGCGGGACCCACCATTGGTGGTAAGCCGACTGCCAAAGTGATGCAGGATGGCACTCGATTGTGCCAAGATTTTCAACGTGGCACGTGCAAGGTGGCTGGAGCTTCCTGTGCCAAGGGGGCGCACAGGTGTGCGGTGGTTACCAAGAAGACGCGTGTGTGTGGCTCATTCGGGCACGGGGCCCAGTCCTGTCAGGCCGTCATCAAGGCCTCTTGAGGGGGCCCCGGGGGGGGGGAGGAGGCCCCCCCGCCGGGGGATGGTGGCGATGATCCTTCAGCACTTGCTCCTATCATGGTGGACCTCATGTCGGGGCCGAATTGCCCGGTCGCCAAGGCTTTTCTTTACTGCGGATGGCGGTGCGTCCCTGTGGACTGGGCTTTTGGCGAGGAGCAGGACATCTCATTGCCTCTTTGCCAGGAGATGGTTCGCGAGCACCTCAAGTCAGCAGTCTTTGTCATGGCAGCCCTCGACTGCACCACCAAGACTCGCGCACGAGAGATTTCCCGAACCTGCCCGAACGGCCATTCCTTGCCTCAACCGTTGCGGAGCGAGGAACATCCCGAGGGGATCCCGGGCCTTTCCTTACAGGAGCAGAAGCGTGTCTCCAAGGATAACGTGGCATGCAGATTCGTGCTGGATGAGATCCAGGGTCTTGTTGACCGCGGTGGGGGCGCGGTTCGTGAGAATCCGGCCCGCAGCTTGCACTGGTACCTGCCGCAGGAGCGCAGAATGGAGCAGTCCGGACAGTGGTTTGACACTCGGTATGATGCGTGCTGTTGGGCCGGTGCCAGGTGTAAGCACCAGCTGTTGCGGCACAACATACCAGAGATCTGCGAGTGGCCTGAGGCGCGGTGCCACCACATTCATGATCCCGAGGAGTGGACCCCACGGTTCGAGTCTGGCGGTACCTTTTATCCCTCCCGGCAAGAGGCAGAATTCACTGCGCCTCTGGCCTTCGCTATCGCCGTCTCGGTCTCCTGGTGGGCGGCGCGGCTTGGACATGCCGTGCTGCATGTGCCTCGGCACCCTATCCCCTCTTGTGTTGGGCGGCGGGCGCACTGGCTTGCGTTGGATCCCCGCTCACTCCGAGAATGGGCGATGGCGCCCTTAGCTATCAGCTTGGGCCTCCGGCCTGTGTCTGCAGAGGAGAATCTGAGGACCCCGACGAGGGCCGTGGTGGAGGCGGTCATCGACCTGCATGGTAAGCTCCCCGCAGGCTGCGTTTACGTTGGTCGAGGACATCACAGCCATAGGCTGCCCGTGGGACAGTGGGCCTGCCCCTTTGTACCAGGCCACAACTGTAGCTCCGACGAGTGGTTGGCCTTGTATGCCGAGCACGTTATGACTCATCTGAGCTCCGACCTCCCCAGCCTGGCAGGGATGACTCTGGTGTGCGACTGCCCGTTGCACCTCGCCTGTGAAGCTGATGTTTTGGCTGGGTTGGTGTTTGAGGTTTCTCGGGATACTCCACCCCCGCATCCCCCTGCCGCGGCGCAGCCGCGGCGCCGGAGGAGCGGAGCCGGCAGTCGAGTGGTGTTGGCAATGGCAGCATTGGCTCGCCAGCCCATCGTTTCTGCGACGCTTCAGGCCGTCACCCAGGAGGCGCTGGTGGCGTGTGTCGGCAAGCTCTTCCCTGCCGAGGTTTTGCAGGGATTTCGTTTCCCTATGTTAGAAGATTTGGTGAACCTTCCTCCATTTACCAGTTATCTGGAATGGCGGAGTGACCGTCGGCTAGATTGGGACGGCCCCCTTGCGCCGCAACTGCCTTGGCAGCAGGCGCGGCAGTGGCAGCGCACCGCGCAAGGTCGCCAGGTGGGAGCTCTGGCGCACAAGGCGGCATTGCCACCGCTGCTGCCGTATGGCCTCGAGCCTGATCAGCACTTCGCTTTGGCTCTTGAGCGGGCGCAGGGCCCAACTCCGTTCGAGCAAGTCCCATCGCTGGATGATGATCTTCTCTTTGCGGCTGACATGGCTGCGCATCGGCGCACCGAACTCCGAGCCCTTCGGCGAGATGCAGTGGGTCGCCTTCGGGAGCTGAAGCGGCGAGTGCAGCCTCTCACCCGGCACTTGCGCCGATTCCAGACCTCGGCGATCCGTCGAGTCACAGCCCAGCGGGACCTTGGCCTCCTGGCGATTCTTGTGGTGATCCTGTCTTGGGGCGATGTGCATCTCCCGGCCTCGTTCATCTACGGCATGCCAGCAGTCGGTACGGCGCCGGCTTATGGCGTATTCCCTTTGCAACCTGCAGTGGATATCCCTCTTTCGCAGCTTCTTCAAGACGCCGAAGCCCACAATGCAGCAGTGAGGGCCAGCATGCGACCCAGTAAGGATGACCAGTTCCTGCTGGCACAGTCTACGAAGGATGCCGAGGCAGGGTTCTGCACGCCACCGATGCGGCATGCTAAGCTCCTTCGTGAGGTCCGCGGGGCTCCCTTTCGGCTTATTCCCCGCTGCGCTATCACACAGAGCTCTGGCAAGCAGCGCGTGATAGACAACGCTGATGCGGGCGGCCAATCCTCGTTGAGTTCGGACCCCAACAAGCTCACGCTGTGCAGCCCTATTCGGCCGGCGCAGCACATAGCCCTTACCACCAGCGCTATGTCCCCGGATGAGTTCCAAGCTGCCCAAGAGAGTGACTCTTGGGAGGGCGGTGGTGAGGACTGGCCAGACGCTTATCGCCACTGCCCGATGCCGCATGAGCATGCTCTGTGTTGCGTGGTCGTCTTTTGGCACAAGGAGTGGGGCGAGCCTGCGTACCAGGTGTACACTGGCCTTCTCTTCGGGCTTCCCTTAGCTGTTACGTCTTTTAATCGGTGGAGTCGGTTTGTTGAAGCGGCCGGGCGGCGCTTGACCTTCACGCTGGTATCTGCTTACTTCGACGACTCTCACATCTCGGATTGGCGTTCGGCCAAAGGCTCGGGGCAATGGGCTTACAACTGCCTTAACGAGGCGTTGGGCACCCCATTTGCGGCTGCCAAGAAGCAGTGGATGGCAGCTTCGGGATCCTTTTTGGGACTGGAGTTCGACTTTTCCTCCGTTTTCACCCACGGCCACGTGTCCTTCTTCGTCCGAGCCAGGCTCGTGGAGAAAGTCACCGATCTTGTCGAGTCGGCCCGGGCTTCTAAGACTCTACGAGCGGGAGTTGCGTCAAAGCTCTATGGCATGCTGAACTTCCTGGAGCTGGGAATGTTTGGGCGCGTCGGTGCCGGAGGACTGGCAGCGATTAAGGATCTCCAGATGGATAAGGGGGTTGCCCTTACTCCGGCGCTTGAGGAAAGCCTTAGCCTGATTTTATCGGTCCTGCGGGTCAGGCCGGAGAGGCAGTATGATGTAGGATGGCGTGCCCATCCTAGGGTCCTGGCTGCGAGTGACGCGGCAGAGGACACACCTGGTTGCGGAACAGGGGGGTTCCACCTGGTCCGATTCGACGCCATCCAAGTGCGCGAATCTTTCGTGGCTCATGTGGACGCTGAGGTTTATAGCCATTTCGAAGCTGGCGATCACAAAATTGCCCAACTGGAACTTTCTATGGTCCTCTACGCAGTGACGACGCGACCTGATGCATTCCGTGGTCGGCGGGGTATCTGGTTCATCGATAACACTGCGGCCCTCATGGCATTGATACGAGGCAGATCAAGCTCAGGTGACCTGGAGCGGCTTTCTCAGTTGATTCATCTTTGCCTCTTTGCGCTGTCGGCCTCCCTCTTCTGGGAGTGGGTACCTTCCAAATCTAACTGGGCAGACGCTATCTCACGTCTTGGCTATTCCGATCCCTGGTTTCCAGCTCATGGTTTTACTGCCTCGCCTTCCTTCTTCCCTCACCCGCTTTGGACTCTCCCTCCTAGCGCGGTCATCCGTGTGGTGCAGTACTTGTAGTGCCTTGGGAGTGTTGTCCTGAGTGCTTTGGGTGTCAGAGCGAAGCAAGCTGGTGTGACCAGTTGCGTGTTGGGCGCCTGTAGATGCCGGTGTTGCCGGCACAGGTGCGGCCCATAGGCATACTCCCAATGCATATCTCGAGGGTATCTCGAGTTGTACTTCACTGGGGTGACCACGCGTGCTGAGGAGTCAAAAAGGAGAGTGACACCGAATGCTCGGGTATGAACCGGATTGATGCTGGAATGTTACGGCATGTTGAGTTTGGTAGGCTTGGGTACATGCTCTTCATTCCCAAGTGTCGTCCGGCTGCCATTTGGATCAAGCCGTCCCGTCAGAGCCAAACTGGCAGGACCGAAGGTTTGACCCGCCCACCCTCCCTTGTACCGTGGCACGGCCTCCGGTGGAGGTACCCTGCTACGCAAGGGCTGCGCGAGATGCGACGCCTTTGGGTGGATCCCATCACGCGAGGATGCTTCTCTCTGGGTGTCAGAGCGAAGCAAGCTGGTGTGACCAGTTGCGTGTTGGGCGCCTGTAGATGCCGGTGTTGCCGGCACAGGTGCGGCCCATAGGCATACTCCCAATGCATATCTCGAGGGTATCTCGAGTTGTACTTCACTGGGGTGACCACGCGTGCTGAGGAGTCAAAAAGGAGAGTGACACCGAATGCTCGGGTATGAACCGGATTGATGCTGGAATGAACAATTATCGGCATGACATATCTTATATCTGTGCACGTTAGAGACGTTATTCTATGTTATTCTGCGACAGTGCCGTATAGCCAGCCTCTGTGCATCGTCTGGTCCTCTTCCAGAGATCAGTTGCGCCGCAATTCGCAGATTTGTCGACGTGGGTTGCCTACGGCATCAGTGGTTAGACGTGGGCTCAGGTACGACCAGTCTGGTTTGGAAGCCTTGGCCTTCTCCGCAGAGGGAGACATGCGCAACGCTCTTAACGGAGCGCAGCCGGGGCCCAACCCGCATCTCCTGACTCCTGCGCCGTCTAGCCGTCAAAAGCGTGGGAGAGCCCGAGGTCGACCTTCAATGCCTTTGGGGAAATCAACAAAGCGACGGTCTTCAGGTCAGGCTGCCGCATGGCTGCGGCTCGGAGCGGCGTGGCGTGTGAGACAAGAGCCGTCGACAGGATGAATGACCAGCCCCAGCCCGAGAAGGTAAAGAGCTGCTTGGAGGCCAGCTTGAAGAAGGACGCCAAGGCTAGACGGCCAGACCGAGCAGCTTCGGCGCCTAAGCATGCCTCGGCCGCAGCACAGACCGCTCGACAGCTCAGGGCACTTTTGGCCCGATGCACGAGATCTGGAACCAGGGCTACAGCACCACCGACATCATCTCCACCTTCTCGCTGCGGCCCTGGCAGAGTCTCGCGAGTGTACTTCTCAGATATATCACTCGATGCTGAGGCGTGTTGCCAAGCAGATGGAGGCCCCAGAGCACATCAAGCTGGAGTGGCTGAAGGAGGCGCGGGGCGGCGGCACCACGCCTGCTCTTCGAAGCGTACACTTCCTTTCTTTCTCGCTCAGATCGGCCTCGCCCATGCGCGTGTGACGGGTGGAGCTGCGAACCTCTTGCAGCTGGATGCCATGGCCGGAGACCAGCGCCGCCGTTTTTTGCGGCTTTTCGGAGCCGCCCTTTTTTGGGGATCCGAGAGAGTGAGTGAGGTTTCCAAGATCATATTGGCATCCGAGAGAGGCACGGAGCTCGGATTCCGTGACTGAGCGGGGACCACGAGAGCTTGAGGCTGATGCTTGCGGAAGTTCCTGTGCGGGCGGCGCACGTGATGTGCAGCAGTGAAGGCACAAGACAGTGAAGCCTCAAGCACATCGCATGTTCTTTATAGTCTAAACCGCCAGAACTAACGGCATCGAAGCTATCTGTCAATTCCTCAAGGGCTTCGGTGACAGAGTCAGGGGTAAAGGGGTTCCTGCAGGATGCTTGGAGATGGCAAGGAGCGCCGCCCCCGTGCCAAGTGGCAGAGGGGTCGCGCCTCCACCCCAAAAAAAGAACATCTCTTGCCGGGGTTGGCATCCAAAACGGACAAGAAGACTCTGGTGACAGCAGTCTGACAGAGCGATCAGGGTCGGAGAAAGCGCCACGCCTTGATGCTTTAGAAGTTCTGTTTGGAAGTCTCAAGAACGTGAAAGGCTGGAGGATGACAATGACATGTCTCTGCTCACTTTCCGCAGCTTTCTTGGCCCGTGGGACAGGGCAGGGCCACGCGCGAGTGTCCTCTTGCCGGGACCTCAGCTTCTGACTTCTCGGGCTCCGCTTCCAGCCTCCGCGATCGATGCCATCGCCGAGGCGCGATTGAGGGCCGTGATGCTAGGCAGGATCACTCCGAGCAGTCTTCTTCAGTCTTCCAGCAGGATCTTCTTTCTCAGGCGCCAGCTTAGCTGCTAACAAAGCCAAAATCATCTGCCTGGCGCTTAAAAGGAAAAATTAGTAGCCGAAGAACTTCGTAATGCTCCGCATCTTCATTGTGAGGTCAGCAGTGTCTAGCTCCTGGCCACTGGACGTACGAGTGCAAGAACGGAAGCACCTACCAGGCGCGGAGACATCTCGTGTCGCATGTCATTGGTCAACAGCCCCTGAATGCTATCCTGAACCAAGCCGGAGAAAGGCGCTCCAAAAAGCAAACAAATCATTTTAGCCCAAGCTCTATATTCCCAGACTCTGAATCCTTGCGACGGTGCAGTCTTCGCAGCAGGTCCGCGCCAGCGCTTCGCGGCAGCTCAAGCAGAAACGCTTCAAGCAGGCCTTCCTAGAAGAAGAGGCCAGGGAGTTCTTCAGGCTTTGGAAGAGGGGAGTTTTGACTCTATGGAAAGGCACCCGAGGTGCCCTACAACGCCTTCCTGGGCTCGGCCCTCAGCTTGTTTTTCCGCGAGGGGTTTGTCTTTTTGAATAGTATTGAGTGTTCTAGTGTTATGGTAGAACTCACGTACAAGATATGGCCTTGAGGTGACGACCGAGCGCGATTCGGAACAAGGCCATCGCCCGGCGTTCTCAAGAAGTGCATGTCGTACGTTTGCCCCCATCGTCCGGTCTTCGCGAAGGAAAGACACCGCTCCTGGCCCCCCAGAAAAGAAGCCCAAGACGGAGAAGGCCGGGAGAGGGGCCGGCTTGTCGGTGTGTCCTAAACTCCACTACCTGCCCTTGAAGCGTGAAGGACGCAAAGGAAAAGAATGAGAAGAAGTCAAAGAAGAAAAAGGAGCAGTGGCCTTTATCTCGTCTCGCAGGCATGCCCCCGAGGATATTGGAAATGCTTACTCTCTGTAGGTCCTCCTCCTCCTCCAGCTCTGACAGCGATTCTAGCTCCTCAAGCTCAAGCTGAATGACTGCACGAAAAAACGAGTTTCCATCTGCTGCACTGTGTGAATGCTTGCTTCATGGCTTGGCGAGCCCCTTTCTGAACATCGGACTGGCCCCAGTCAGCATGTCTTTGCTGCAAGCCCGCTTCTGCGCAACGGCGGGAGGGCTTCAGTTGCATCGAGCGAAGCGCCACCGGAGACCAGAGGAGAGCCAGAGTGCCTTCAGTGCCCTCCTTTGAAGAGGTTCGCAAGGTTTGCAAAGCTTGACGGTTTGACCTTGGAGGCAGAGCACACCTTTCCTTCCCCAGCTTCAACTTGAAAGCAGAAAGCTCCAGCTGAGCCATGTGCGGACACAAGCGGCAGAAAGGGTTGCAGCCTGTTTGAAGACGGTTCCACTTCGTGCTTGCAGTCACTGTCCGAAGTCACCAGCACAGGCTGGTGCTGCTGCCTTTCATCCTGGTGGCGGCCGAGAGACCAACGATCAGCCTCTTGGCATGTGAAGCCCTCCTTCATCCTCCCATATCTGACAAGAAAGCCACTTTTTCAAAAGCTCCTCCTTCAAACTTGCCCTCAAAGGGACCGGACCTCCGACCCCTCTCCCTTTGGTCCTTTTCTTCCTCTTGGCTCCTGGAGGCGCGGCACCGGGCCTCGAAGGCTTGCAGCAGCGCGCGGAGCTGCGGCTGGGGCAGGTCGGCGACGGTCGGTAATCGGCAGTCGTTGGGAGTCCCACCCCATGCGACTTAAACAAAATTCCTAAGCCCAGAAGCCTAAAGCATCTTAAAGCCCTGAAACTCTCTGAAACTCCTGAGCCCTGATGATGATGATGATGATGATGATGATGATGATGATGATTTGTCGGCAGTCGGCTTGCCATACGGCTCATAAGCAACTGCTTCAGTACATGCTGCCCTCGACCAGAGGCCTTGGGTGACCTGATGCTGACAGCTGGAGATAGTCAGAGTCAGCCAACGTCTTCGGCGGGAACCTCGCTCTTCATGATGTTGCCACGGACACAGTGGAAGGGAAGGTACGTAGCTGCCCCACCGTAGATCGCAACCTTGCGCAATGGTTGTTTCCGTCAGTGTAGCTCCTGCTGGCGTGAGAAGCAACGGAGCACCTTCCGCACAATCCTCAGATGCTGCGGGTTGTCACCTTGTTCTGTTGACACGCAAGAAAAGTTTCAATGGATAGGGTAGTGCTTTCGCTCACGTCTTCAGGTAGCCCGTCGGAAACCAAATATGCAACCTTGTTGCAACATCAGCCCCATTGCCTGCAGCTCGTAGCGGCCGGTAGTCACATTCATCTGTTTCGCAAGTGACACCCTGAAGCACCTTCAGCAAGTGCTTTCGGCAACTGTTTTCGGATAGTCCAGCAGAAATTTCATCACCTGCTCAGCCACCGCCTGCTCAACCATCGCAGGCAAGCCTGGTAAGTTCGCATCGCTGAGCATCACACGCTGGGAGATCATGCCCTAGCAGGCCGTCTTGTTTTGGCTGGTCGAAAAGGGAATGCGCAGACGTCGGCTATACTGTGCCCCCGAATGTGCAAAGCCCAGCCAGCTTGACGTTGTGTAGTGCCAGATGCAGGCCGTGAACGGAGCGCAAGCTGCAGACCTAACCCTACGGATCCCTACGGTCAGCATGTGCGCGGAAGGCTTCAGCCTTTTAGCTGCCGGAGGGTTGAGAAGGCGCGCTTTCGCGCGGGTGGCAGACGACATCAGGGGCAACACTATCTTAGGTTGCACCTTTCGAGAAAACCTCAAAGCAGTCGCTCTGGGAGTCGCGCGAAATCTGGAGATGTGGCAATCGTTGCAGAGCGACTGGGTCTAGCCGTTAGAACGGACGTGTCGAGGTCTTCTGGTATGCAACCTGCCTTGGCAAGCGATTTTGGTCGGTTGCTCTTCTGGTCGGTTGTTCTTCTGGGAAAGTGCGACGGCCGGATTTGTGAGCTCGAGACTGTCCTACTGCTGCGCCATGGGGCGGCTGCTCTCTTCTTTCCGTGTTGTTCATCGAGATCCTTTGTTCATGGGACCGGGGAGACGGGGATGTGGCCGAGATGGTCCTGGATATGCTTGGAGATGAGTTTGGGTGAGGCTGCAGGTGGATCACACCGAAGTAGTACATGTGCTAGTTACGCGTCTGTAGTGATGGATACCTTTGGACCTGAGAACTCAGAGAACCCCGTCGCCAGTAAACATGGACATCTCCGGGCAAAGAACGCCTTCGTAGAACTCTGGTTGCTTATGCCACCCAGACTCCTGCCCCCATCGTCACAATCAAGTTCCATAAGCATGCTGAAGAAGAAGGACGGCGACTCGCTACCTTTCTGGTTTATGCCTTTGTGAACTTCACAGGCCATGCCTGCCTGCCATTCCCTTTCCGATTCCGACAGGCAGATGTCGCTGTAGGTATGCGAAAAGAAATTTTTATCTGCACATTCAGAAGGAATCACATCGATCTGCTTTCCAACACCCTTCCTGTCTCGGCCGGCTGGGTAAGTGTTTGGAAATGCTCTGCCAAAGGAGCAGCCATCCTCAACCCTCTCCTTTCCAGGATCCCGAAAAAAAGCCGTCCTTTACCCTCCTTGGCCACCGGTGTGGCTTACACTTCACCCCTCGCCGAGCCCAAGGAGTGTTGACAGCACCACGGTAAATGACCATGTCCAATCCTGGGGGGGGGGAAGCGAGGCTCGCTGTGTGAAGAGAGAAGTATCTACGGAATCTGTGGGTCAGACTTCGCATCTTGAACCATGTTCCTTTTCCTGTGCATGATCTCTGTTCCCCTGCACGCCCGTTGATGACGATGTGTGGCTGTAGTCCAGCTCTTGTGTCTATCTGCCGTCCACCCGTTTACACCCTCGGATACTCTTGGTTGTGGACACCGGGTGCTTGCCAAGACCTTCTGCTGGACGGCAGGTCTGTTACGGTCGGTGTGGACAGTTCCTGATGTGCTCTTGGAAGGGTGTACTTGCCTTAGTGCACTACCAGATGATTGGGTGGAACACACGGTGAATCTGGTGCTTGAGCACATGTTGCACATGTTGGCCTCCGCTCCTTCGCCGTTGCCGGCAACCGCAGCAGCGAGCGTGTCGAGGGAGCCCCTCCCTGCCGTTCGGCATATTCCATACAGCATGGGCACGCTCGAATACCAACCTGCAGTTCAGCTTCAAGTGGAGCGGATACGCCTTCATCACCTACATCCAGGCATGATGGAGATGAGTGACAAAAAGCAGGCCTGGAGCTGATGGCTTTGGCTGAGTTGCTTTTGACTTCCATAGGTCCCATCGCTGAAGACTGCATGGCAGGATACGGCAGATCAACTACAGGCGCTGCAGCCTGCCGTGCGAGACGATGCGCCTGAGTGGTACCCTACGACATGAGGACTGGCTTTCCTCGAACGGCTTTACACGGTTGGGGAGTGGTTTCGCAAGAGTTTCTGCCAAGGATGAGCACATCGTACCCCTGGCTGGAAGAATCGCAAAACCCGGAAGGTTATCGGGAGCCACTCCTTGCCGCATCGGAAATGGAGAGACTGTCTGCAATCACAGGGCAGGGTACAGGAGGTTGCAGTCCTGTTGCGCCAGGCGGAGACGTACCAGAACTGGGAAGACTGGGTGGTGGCCGGCGAAATGGATAGGGCCCTGCAGTCACGCAGTCCGTTCCTCGAGCTCCCACGGGGAGCTGGATGTGCCTCCGAACGGTTGTGCTTTTCTTTTCCAAAACCGAAGGCCAAGATGGAAGATGCTCGTTGATCCGGAGGAAGTCGAGACGGTGGTGTTGCAAGACACTACAGTAATTATACAAAGCGACGCCATGAACGTCAACAGCAGGCGGATTCCACAGCTGACTGCTGTCCTCATGTGAATGACTTGCAAGAAGGGAACACTGTTGATTTTTGACCGACAGATCATTAATCTCTATGCTGCCGACATGCCGCCTCTGCTGGAGGTCCAGCCTGCGAAGTCGGAGGACTTTGTCATCGCAGGTGGGTGGCCCGGAGCCTTCCCGATCCACCTATGAGAGGCTGGGGGGTCCAGATGGCGAAGACGTCCTGATCAGTCCTGGTCATGCTTCGGCAACGTGAACATGGGGAGGGCGTTGCGCTGCATGTCGCCCTGTACCAGCACCTGACGCTTCTCGTTTAAGCTTGCCTGAGGGAAATGGTGATGGAGGATTGACGACAGCGGGGGCTACTCAAGTCGATGGGGATTGTGCTGACGTTTGTGAAAGGCACTCCACGGCTTGAACAGCATCCTGAAACGCAGGAAATGGAGCTGAACGACAATGCTTGAAGAGTTCAGAACAAGGAAGCTGAGTATGACGAGTGAAGGTCCATGTTTCGGGAGCCAAAGTCGGATAATCTGGCTCCCCTTGGAGAGATCGTGGGCTCCTGCGTTCAAGAAAAAATGGCGCGTTGCTCGTTTGCACATGGGTTCCAGAGAGACGCGTCGCTGATTGGTCAGGTCGGGCTAGATTCTCCTGCGGTGGTGACACTGGGCAGTGTGCCAGACGCGCGCCTCTCGCCTCAAGATATGTTTGAAGATTCTTCGTGAACTATCGCTCGGGTCTCTTGAATGCACAGCTACGGTCAGCTACGGCGGCTATTTATCCAGTCGGGATGGTCACGACTATGTTTCATCAACAATGGCCCCGTAATTTCGGCTGACTGCTTGACGATTATCTTGAGTGCAATACGGTAGGACAGGAACAAAAACAGAGTTGGAGGAAAAGGAGGAGGCGGGTTTTTGGGTGGCCAAACGGTACCCATACGACCCATGCAACAGCTCTGCATTCTTCCTCCTCCTCATCATCATTATCATCATTATCAGCATCAGCAGCGTCACCTTTCCATGACATCAGGAGTATCAGGATGAGATTTTCATGAGCGTCCTGATATGTCCTGATCACAATCGTCATGGTCAGGATCCTGGGTGATGATGATGGCCCGGTTCACAAGGACCCATCACCTACCGTTCACATTATCACCTTCCTACTTCAGCCCCATGTAGAACTGCCGCTCTTTTG